GAGAGAGAGAGAGAGAGAGAGAGAGAGAGAGAGAGAGCAAGGAGCGAACGAAAGGACGTTAACCCTTTTCTTGTTTCTCTCCAGCCCATCCCTCCGTTCCTTCTCATCGCAGGAGTGCTCCTTTCCACAGGAGAGTTATACCTCCTCTTCCTCTCCCTTTCTCTCCCTCTTCACTCACTTTTTCCACCTCGCGATCTCCTCTCTCTCCAACCTCCTCTCCACCTCGGCTCCGTTCGTTGTACCCTGAATCCTCTTCCTTTGTCGCACTCGCTTCTCCATCTCGCTCCCACTTCCTTGTACCCCGTACACGCGTCCTTCCCCGCTTTATGATTCTCTCCCTTCCTCCAAACCACACTCGCCCCCGTTCGCTTTCTTACTCTCCCTTCTCGTCGAGGGGAGAACAAAAATTACGAATCCGCGAGGCATTTGTCGAGAGCCGCGGCTCGATCGAGGGGTTTCGCTCGGCCGTGCGAGAACTACGCGCCAACCATCACGTTTCTACCACGGTGGAAATGTTTAACCCTTGCGCGACGGATAATTAAAGAAATTATTTTCGAATTACGTATGTATTCGAAACGATAGTTGGAATGAAATGAAGGGTTCGCGGTTAAACTGTAACGCTATCATTGAAAAGAATTTATGGAACTGATTTAGAAGGATCTTTAAGAAGAAAATGAAGGATATAAGCATATCGTCCTATCATCGTCATACTGCAATTTATTATTATTTTAAATCGCGACATTGAATATAGGAAAAATGCTATAATTATTTATTTAATCAGAACATTTAGATTAACTTATTTGTGCAATGATGTAGTCCAGGCAAGTACTGAACAATAATAGCACAATAAATACATGCGATAGATTATTCGTTACATCATTATTTATAAAAATATTCACGTGAGAGAATTATTTTACTAGTTTAATCGTTATTTAATTTTATCTTATCATAATTTCCACAATCGATCGATTACTATTTGCAAGGATCATTTCTTTCCGATTTTCAAAGATTTTGCTAATTCTATCGCGTAGAGTATAGTTTAAAAATACCAGAGAGACATCGATCATCAGCCGCCTGACCAGGAAGCGAGGCCGACGTTCCTCACCTAACAATTAAAATCCAACTCTCTCTCGTCTCAATCGAGGAACGAGTGACGGGCGAAATAACAGCGCGAAAGAATTTCTCGCGATCTTAAAAATAACATCATCCCATACCCATAAATCAAATCTACATTACACGTCTGTAACAGATACAGTTTAGCGTGCATTTCAGCTTCGAGGGGGAAAAAGAAAAAAAAAAAAGAAAAAGAAAAAGGAGAAAAAAAAAAACGTAGCGGCCACAGGGTGAATAATTACCGCGGAACGAAAGCGCAAATAAATCTGCATCAGTGGGCGGGAAAAAGGCGGTGCGCTCGCGTTTCGCAACGCGGCGGGGATCGCACGTGAAATTCCTGGGACAGTTTGCATATTTTCGCGTGACCGGTATACCAGAGGACCCGAGGAACGGCCACGGTTGCCTCTCCACCGTGGGAACATCGGTTTCAGACGGTTGTAATTATTAGAACCAATTTGTCCGTCTAATAACACGTCATTATACTATTACAAAGTCGTAAAGATAATCATCGTGTCTACCCGGCTTTGCAAGCCTATTGTTTCACGGCCTAAAGGTTCTACTATTCGACGAGATCATCGTTGAGAAGATACCTCTCTCTCTCTCTCTCTCTCTCTCTCTTTCTCGTGCGTGCACACATAACAGCCTCCGCCTGGATTATCTGTCTCGAGATGATCGCGATCACGTCCACGGAAGAATTGGAAGTTGTAGTATGGCTCTTAACCTTTGGAGGATCGGCAAGTGCCTTGAACTTTGCGTAAAAACTCTTGCATA